ATCGTTTTTGGCTGTGGGGGGGGGGAAGTACGGTGGGAAGCGGCAAAATGGCGACACGGCCAAAACGGCAGGAAGGTACGTATTCTATCAGTAGGGGGAAGGGGTGGTACCGGTACCGGTACCGGGAGCACTTAGGACCGGGAACCGGGCCCCACCGCCCCATGAGGAAATGTTGGCCCCACTCGGCCAAGACAGGGGGCGGGTGCCCCGCATGACAGCGCGCGATGGTGGGTCAGTAAAATGACAACCACCGCGCCCACTTACATAGTGGGTGACTGGGTGACATATATACCCCCCCTCCTCGCCCCCCCTCATCCGACCCATCATTCCACCCCACGCACCCGTCGCCACAAGCTTCTTCCGCTCCTTCACCGCCGCCAGACCCTCAAACGGGTTTCGGAAGCAAGGGTGGCACCGGTCAGTGATGGCCTCAACCCGCAGACGCCGGGGAAGAGGCCGCTTGCCGTACAGAGCAGCCACCAGCTCCTGACGGTGTGCGGGGGTGCGGGTGCGTGTGTGGTGTGTGCGTGTGTGTATGAGAGGGCCCGGCGGAAAGGGGAGAGGGGGCAAGCGGGAGAGGCGGGGGAGATCCAAATATCATCAAAGTGACATTGGGGAAGCGGGGAAGCGGAGGGTGGCGTGAAGAGCCTAACCCTAAGTCCGACACCGCGACAGACCGAGTACAGACTCTTCGTGGAGGGACGGATCCAGGGGGGGAAACGTGGCGGGAAGTCAGATGGATTCAACGGGAAGGGAGAAGGATTCAAAGGGTGGCTAACGCCTCGTAAAGAGGGCAGAGCTCGGTCCATAGCTAGGGAAAAGCGGAGGCTCCCTCCACCCTCCCCAAACTGGGCCCCACATCCACATGGTCCACACAACTCACCGCGTCCGCCTCGGGATAGTATTTGGCAAGCGGCAGGGCCGTAGGAGCCGGCACACTCCCACCCGCCGCCATTCCCTGCTTGTCCTTGTCCTTGTCCTTGCCGCCGCGCTTGGCGCCCTTGCCAGGTGCCCCTGCGGCCGCTGCGGCGGCCCCACCGCCCCGCCCTACATCGGCTCCCTGCTGCTGCTGTTGCGGCTCCGGTTCTGAGAAGTAAAGCCCTGGGGGCACCGAGGAAGACGTCACCAGCGCCCGCTGCGCCGCCGCCGCCGCCAGCGCCGCTACCTGCGGCCGCATGGCGCCGTTGAAGACCTGGAGCAGCAGGCTGCTGCTGCTGCTGCTGGCGGCGGTGGTGGTAGCGGCGCGCTGCGGCTGCTGCTGCTGCTGCCCCGGCGGCGAAGCTGCAGTTCGACGGTCGGCCGGTCTGCTGGCGGGGGAGGAGCGGGGGGGGGGAGGGAGGACCCATACATGACACCGCATGAGACATGGGCTGTCGATCCACTCCAGCTGGTAAGCTTTTGTTGATTTAGAGAGAACCCAAAGTCTATCTAAATATCTATCTATCTATCAATCTATCTATTCGAAACTACTATTTCCCCCCCAGTGCCATTTTCCCCTCGCACATAAGATCTGTGTGGTCACCCCCTCCCCACGCCGTCCGTAATACTGCCCCATGGTTTCCCCCTCCCCATCCTTAACCCCCCCTCCTTCTCCAGCCCACCGTTTGGCTTACCCCACTTCGTCCTCCTCGTCGTCGAGCCCACTGTGAATCCATCCACCGAAAGCAGCGGCGCCGCCGCCGCTGCTGCCACCCCTCACTCCGCCGCCGGAGCCTGCCGCTGCCGCTGCTGCTACTGAGCCCCTGCCCGCTGCAACCTGGCTTCCACCCTGCTGCTGCCGCTGCGAAGCCCCTTTTGGGGGACTGTTGGAACCCAACGCCGTTCCTCCAGAAGCTCCGAACGCTCCGGAACCAGATCTCAACCCAGATCCAAGACAGGGCCCTGACCCAGATCCCAATTTTGTAGAGCCATGTCCTAAACCCGGCCGGCCGGTTGTCGCCCCGGGAGATGGCACACAGCCCTGACCGGGACCAGGACCGGCTCCTTGCCAGCCCCGAAGGGGTGCGGCTCGAGTGGTTCGAGTGGTTCCAGGATTGGTCGTGGGTAGGGAGGTCCCTGGGGAAAGGCCTGAGCCAGAGGGTGTTGATCCCGGTAGCAGAGCCGAGGTTGAGGTAGCTCGGGGAAGGGATATGGGTCCGTTTGTTCGGTTGGTTGTTAGTGATGTACTGGCTGGAGGGGCTGGCGTGGGGATGAAGGAGGCAGAGGGGGGGCTTTGAGAGGAGGAGGGGCGATGGCTGCCAGGGTTAGGGGGGAATGAGCGAGGGGGCCCCGGGATGGGTATGTGGTGGCCGCCGCCTGAGGTGATTTTATGGGAAGCTGCGTGCGGTGGTGCAGAGGCTGGAAACGGCGTGGGAAATGGAGGGGAAGACCGGAGAGCTGAGGCGGCGCGCAGGGCGCCGTGAATTGCTCTTTCGTTGGGGCTGGGGCTGCTGAGCTTGGCGATGCCGTCGGGCGACCTGCGGAAGGGTGGAGGGAAGAGATTCTTGTTTTACTAAGCGCATTTTTTCGGCTCATGACGCACAGGAGCAGACGCGAGAGTGCGTACCCGTCAAAAAGCAGGGGCAGCATGCACTCTGGGAAATCGTTGTCCTCTAGGGCTCCGACTAGTCCATCCGATAGGCCATCAAAGGCATCCGGGAAGTCAATACCAGGAAAGAGAGGGGCCTGTTTGCAGTGCTTCATGTTACAGCCCGCATTTCGGATTGGCAAGTTAAGGTACCCACACATCAACGCGTCACAAACCTCGCAAGTGTCGCTGCCATGAACGCTCGCTCGAGACCTTTTGAAGAGGCGCAATCCATCTTCTGGAGAAAACATCCTGAGTAACGCTAAGGCCTCTGCCTCGAGTCATCTAGGTTGGCATCGGGAACAGCCAAATCAAGCACATTCGTGCTGAAATGTATTATGTGCAGAGGTTATGCCGTTACTGCAAAGGCCCACAATCCAAGCATGGCTAGCCTGAGTTCTGGACTAAACGTTCAAATTAAAGTTGACAGCGGCCGAGTTTTGTAGGACAAAATGACGATAAGGGTCAGCTAAATGCAGTATAAAGGAATGAGGCAATAATGTTTTAGTATTTCCCATCCGGTGGCGAATTGCGATGTAATAGCCGAAACCGAACCTTAACGGAAGCTGTCCAAAGGTGTATCAAACGAAACTGAATAAATCTCCAATAAAGCTTCTCGATATGTGACAGAAAGACATTTTATTCACCAGATTGGCCCTTGTAAACATCCGAAATTGGTGACCTTTGGGGCGCCACTATTTGCCACTGGCATTTAACTCACCACCAGCCATTATACAATCTGTTTCGCAGTCTATGCTTGAAGGCACGATGTCGCTCCGTACCCGTAATGTGCCGGATTGCAGACGTTTCCCTTGATGCCAACACAACTTCCTCGGGCACCGTACATCACCGGCAGCTCCCCGGCGGGCATCCGGCGGGAATAACAATCCGCTTCCGGATGAGGCGCATGAATACGTTGCTGTCCTGTGTAATATTCAGGTCAAGCTCGGGAATCGCCAAGGCGAGCCAAACTAAACCAGTAGCCAATCCTAAAGGCCGGTGCATCGGAATCCCTACCGAGGGAAGCCTAGAACCATCTATAACTGGAAAAGTACGAGCGCCGATGCCCGTAACGCCGGGTACAGAAGGGCCTCATCCTTTTCTGTGCCTGGCGCCCTGCCCCAGCCAAGGGATCGCGCAGAGCGGAAAGAGCGCCTCCCCCAGCTGCTGGACAAGAGGGCTTATGTGGAGCCACCTGCGCTACTGCCCTGTATATGCATTGAAGGATATGCCATGGGAATCGCGCCCATGGGAATGTGTTCAGGAGTTACCATTATCCCTGTATGTCCCGTCGTGTATGAGATATAAGGATGCTTTTGCTGCTGCAACTGGATCGGGTCCTGAGATAGCATGTGGATTTGGGATGCGGCACCGGCATGGACCAACCCGGCAGCCTTACAGGAGCCCAATAAGCATCGAAACGATTACCTAGTCCGGCCCAGGCAGCGATTTGACGGCAGGACCGTTAACATCACAAAATCTAAACAAAGGAGGCCTTCTAAATTTTGCTAAGGAAAGGCCACAAGGTTTTGCTGTGAGCGCCTCGACCGCACCTTTGCCGTTCGTCGCCGACGTCCAAACAGTCGTTGCCGGTGCCTAAATTGTACAGCTTCAAATTATTCTCCTGATTCTTCAAAATGGGTTGATAATAATTCCTATTCTTGCCATTATCACGCGGTGGCAGCGCTTGCTGGAGCGCCCCAGCGGGTCAGCAGCTCCTGGTCGCGCCCTGTCACGGTCGCCTTCGCCCCTTGGCGATTAAGCAAGGCAAGGATTGAGCAGGAAAGCCCTCCTAGAACACATACGAAGATTATGCTTTTGAGATGCATTTTTTGGGGTTACATATCTCATGTCGGGCCAAATGCCGGACGGATGACGCCACGACATCAAATACTTTTCGCGCAGCTGTGAGGTTCCAACATCGCCTAAGGCTCAGTACAGTTCCGCCGCAGTGCCTTATATCCACTGTGATATCTTAAGTCTACCGAATAGAGAAAAACAAGAAAGCACTGCGGACAGGTGCTGTGTTGCTTGCCTACAAAGGAGGCTGTTCTCTTTCACGGTCGCTTGGTTTGCCGCCTGCTTGCGATACCAATTTTATGCCTCTGCTTCTTCCGCGACCCTTTGGTGGCAGTCCGTATCCCGGCCAAGCCAGCCAAAGCCACAACAAAAGCACCGGCAGCTCCTCCCCCGCGACACAGACCCCGCTCCCAGCCGCGGCAGGAGCGGAGACCCAGCAGCACCAACAGCCTCAGCCACAGCAGAAGCCGCGCTCTACGTGGCTCGCAGCCATCGGTGCTCTTTTTGGCATCAGCAGCAACACCAGCAAACGCACGACAGAATAGTGCGATTTATATCAGATACAAGATAAAAGAACTGCAACGACGACTTAATCAACGCCATCCACACTCTGCCGGCATCCAAAACAATTTTTCTCTTTTCCGTTTTCCACTGCACTTTTCAATGCTCCGAAACCTCTTCCGACCTTCCCCGGATGGCCAAGGCCAAGGCCAAGGCCAAGCCATGCACCGCCGCGCTGTGGCTACCTCCCCCGGTGGCGGCGGCAGCAGCCGCAGCGCGGCATACGGACCTTCCTGGCCCGTACCCACCGATGAGGACTGGGGAAGTGGGCCCTCTTCCAATGACTGGGGCGGGGCCTATATTGACGAGGGGGGTGGTTTTATACTACCGGAACCTTCACAGCACCGCCCCGTGGAGCCCTCGGCGCCTCCACTGCCAGCGGACCTACTGTACCACATTGGAACGATTAACGATAACTACCACAACCACTACGCCGCGCATGGCAACGACCTAAAGGCAGCAGCACCAACAGGACCAGCAGAAGCAGCCGCAGCCGCAGCAGCAGCAGCAGCGCCGCCGTTCCGTGACCGTGACCCGTACCACGGGCGCTACAATGACCCGTGGGTCGGTCCTCACTTCGCCAGCAGCAGCAACCTGGTGCACAGTAGCGCAACCGGCGGCGCCGCTGGCGGCGGTAGCAGCCTCCTGACGACAACTGCCGGATCTCCGCCGGCAACGGTTTCGGGGCTGCTAGGATTCCTAGAGAAACTGCTCGGGAGCTTTATCTATGGGGCTCCTGGTGGTGGTGGCGGCGGCAGTGGCAGTAGCAACAATGATGTCAGCAGCCGCGGCGGCAGTAGCACCGTCGACGAGCATGCCTGTGTCTGCATTCGCCAAGAGGGCGGTGGTGGCCGTACGGGGCCCCCTAGGGGGGCAGTGGCGGCAGAAGACGGGCGACAGATCATGCAGCGTATGAGGGTTAGTGCCTGGCTGGGGCGTGGTTGTGGACAGACCCATGGGTCCATGACTTTCCCGTGGGTCCGTGAAGATCAAACACAAAGCACGGAGTTTTTATACCGCCTGCTCATTTGTTTCGATTGTCCGCTGACGATGCTCCCCGTCGAATGACGCGGGTTGGCTTGCTTCAAAACACACACATACACTACATACAGGCGCACACTTAGCCTATAATTATCATGATTACGGTAAAACTAAAAAAAAGGTTAATAATTACGCTAGTTAAAACAATTTCATTAATCTAATGATCCTTTCATCAGCTAGGTTAGCTATTTTTTACACACTCTCACTCGCAGCTGCACATTATAATTACCGCGAAGATCATTTCCTCTTGGGGCCAGGTCAGATGCAAAACGCACTGCCCTGAGACGTCGTCGGCACCTCCACGGCCCGCTCACCCAACGGATAACACACATGCACCTTGGACGCGGGTCCTAAGCTGAGTGCGTGACCTGTCGTACCACATTTCCTATCTCGTCCAATCTCGTCCATTCTGGATCCTCCCTTACCCGGGAGGGGGCGCCTGGGTGCGTGTCCCGCCGCTCTGCGTCCTGGTCGGGACACCTTGCTGACTGACTGACTGACTGACTGACTGACTGACTGACTGACAGACTGACAGACTGACTGACTGACTGACTGACTGACTCGTCACAGTGCACCGGGTGGGGTGGGGGGCGTGTGTGTGGGGGGGTTGGGGCCAAGGGTGCGTACATCATACGTACGGCATCTAGTCACATGCGGGATTCGATGATGATGATGATGATGGTGGTGGTGGGAGGGATAATGGTGGTGATGATGGTGGTGGTGATGATGGTGGTGGTGATGATGGTGGTGGTGATGATGGTGGTGGTGATGATGGTGGTGGTGATGATGGTGGTGGTGATGATGGTGGTGATGATGGTGGTGGTGATGATGGTGGTGGTGATGGTGGTGGTGGTGATGATGGTGGTGGTGATGATGGTGGTGGTGATGATGGTGGTGATGATGGTGGTGGTGATGATGGTGGTGGTGATGATGGTGGTGGTGATGATGGTGGTGGTGATGGTGGTGGTGGTGATGATGGTGGTGGTGGTGATGATGGTGGTGGTGGTAAGGCAACCCCCGGAGCTCCCCCCCACTCTTCCAAACTCCCCCGCCCGCCCCCCACGCGCACACACACACACATACACACACACTGTGACTCTCTACCCCACCCCCTCCCCCGGGGGATCAGGTGGAGGACGGCGGTGGGTTGAGGGTCGCCTGGCCTGTACCTGGCGGCAGCGGCAGCGGGAGCCCGGGGGCCGACAGTGACGTCAGCAGCGGCGGCGGCGGTGGTGTCAGTGACGGCGGCGGCAGCGATGGCGGCGGTGGTGACGTCAGCGGCGGCGCCGGCGGGCGGTACTACTATTGTCTTACGGCACCGCCGACTGTGCGCGACAGCTCCAGCCTGGATCAGCGGGATGCAGTACTAGCAGCGTATACCCGATTTAGGTACGGCGGTACGGCAGTACGGTGGTACGGCATGCTGTTGTAAAGGGCTTTCTGAAGGGCCGGGGGAGCCGCAGCTCGTGCTGCTTGTGCTTTGGCGCGGTAAGCCAGTTTAGTTCAGTGATTAAAACATAAACCTTCTTTTCTTCTTATGAACAGTAAGCCTTTCCTACAAACGTAGGCGAATTCCTATCCTATAAACGTTGCTATTTCTGTCGGTTTAAAGTTGCCGTTGAAACCCCATCTTCGTGCAGCACGTGCCCCAGAAGCGGTTTCGATTGCGGTTACGGTTGCGGTTGGGAGTTATCCCCTTATCGCCCGCTTTTAGACCTCCTCTTACTGTGATGATGATGATGATGATGAGAGCGAGAAGAAGAGTGGTGTTCGCTCGGGGGGGGGGGGTGAGCGGCTAGCTTAGCGGATACCTTCATGCCGTATTCCCTCGTGCCGTACTGCCGTACTGAGACCCTTGAACGTGTAGCCTTGTGCGTTGCCTTCCCACCGGCTTTGGCGTGTACGGCAATACACCATTCCTGATGCAGTCGCATGCCGGAAAGTCAGCCGCCGTACTATGTGACGCCCAACGTCGCGGCCGCCGCTTCCGCCGCTGGTGACGCTGGTCAGCCCCGCTGGGGTGGCGGCGGCGGCAGTGGCGGCGGCGGCGGCGGCGAAGCCTGCGCCGTCAAGCCTGGCGCCGCCGGGCCAGGGGTTCCGCCCGTCGCCGCCGCCGCCGCTCCCGCTGGAGCGACTGAATACTTTCCACAATCCGCAGAGGCGCTGTCGTACAGTACGTCAGCGCTGTACCCGGCCGTACCGACGGGCCCGTACCGACGGGTTCCTTTTTATAAAGGGGCGGCGGAGGCGGATGGCGGTCTCGGTGGCGACGGAGGGCTCGGGAACGCGATGGCCGCGCCGGCGGCGGCGCCGCCACAGGCTCCCGGCGGCGGCTCCGCCGCGGCGGCGGCGGCATGGGCTGCAGTAGCTTCCGCCGCCGCGGCGCCTGAGGGTGCAACACGTCTGGCGACTCGCGTGGTGGACGCGGCGAGGGCAGTGGGCGAGGCGGTGGTAGCGGCGGCGCACTCTCTCGCGTACGACATTCGCAGACGGGTACGATATATACCACATATTTATTACGGCAGAGAAAGGAGGTTTTCCATCGATTCGTGCGCAACTTCCCAACGGCTTGCCAGGAAATTGGATTGGCATCCTTGCAGAACGATGGCAGCTTCATCCTCGTCCACATAATTGTGACACTTTTTTAAAATGGTCACTTAGGTTGTCGTACATTCTTCATTGCAACTGCCGTCGCTCGCATTTCGATCTCACTGAGTGAGAAGTACGTACGTATGTATGTATGCGGTGCGCTGGTCCATGCTTATCGTACGGCAGGCGGATGAAGTGGCGCGGCGGCAACTGGCTGGCGGCAACGAGGTTGGTGGACGCCGTACAGCGGGGGCTAGCGGCGGCGGCGGCGGCGGCCGTGCGGCCGCACTGCTTCCGCTGCGAGCCGGCGTGGTGGCGATCTGGCTACTTGCTCGTGCGGCGGCGGTGGCGGTGGGCGTGATGACGGAGGTGTTGGCGGGTGGGTTGGGGTTGGGTTGGGTCGGGGTAGTTTTCATTATCATGTTCTCAATCCAGACATACATACGTGAAGAGTGACCTGGTCGTGAACTCGACGTGGTTGCCCCGGGAGAGCGGAGATAATTTCTTGGGGGGTGCTGACTCCCCCCCCCCCCCACCACACCCACACCCCACCCCACCCCACCCCACCCCACCCCACCTCGTGAAACCCACACGTGCATGCAGCCCTACTTGTAACCCCCCAAACCCCCACTTGCCCGCCACTCAGCAACGGGCGCAGTGGCGGCGGAGTTCCTCCTCTTCAGCGGCGCTCTGCTGACCAAGTGGATGCCGATGCTGAACAACAACAACAACAATCGGCGCCGCCGCCAGCAGCAGCAGCAGCAGCAGCGCAGATTTGCGGGACGCCGCGGCGGCGGTGGCGGTGGTGGCGGTGGTGGCGGCGGCGGCGCGCTCCGCACACACCCGGACGGTGGCTACGGACGCGGACTCGGTGATGAGGCAGGTGACGGAGGCGGAGGCGGAGGCGGCCTGTACGGCAGCGGCTGGGGGCTGGGTCCCGGGGTGCTGGCGGCGCTGATGGCGCCGAGCCACATAGCCCGTACAATGACGGCAACCGCCTTGCTTGTGTACGGTAAGAAGCGTTACAAGTGGAATATGTTTTCGTATTAATTGCAGCCCACGTTCATTGGCTGCTTACAGGAAATGTGTGTGTGGCAGGGCAGCTCTGTGGGGCCTTATCATTGTAGCAATGGAGAAGTGCGTGCCCTGGATTGCCACATACCTTTTCAGCGGTTAAATCTGCTGAATGACGAGCATGCAGTCGTACCTTATCTTTTTCTTATGATTACGATGTATATATTGTATTTCCTCTCAAGTAACCATAATTGAAAGATCGAGCCGTACTGCAGCGATGTGGGGTTTTTTATGTCGCTGTGGTATATGCGTGGTGCCACGTAGTTTTTCTGTACGACACAAGGGCGCCGGTGTCTCGAATTGCTCGTCCGAGGACGCGTATGGTTGGCTGAGATGATGTGGGTCAGGCCTCCACAGTCCAGGAGAAGCAAGTGATATAAAGGAGACTAAGGGACGACCAAAGGGAACGATAGAGTTGCGGTGGGGCCACATACATTCCAGCATCCTTGCCAGACATCTTATTTATCTTACCAAAAAAAGCGTGAATGATGGATGGTAGTACGGCACATGCGACGCGTCGGTAGCCTAAATATATTTTCCGCTGACTCGACTTCCGTCCCGACATGCGGACAGTGTTAATTAATGAAGATTATTATTAATCCCCCAACCGAGGGGGATGATTCTTTGGCCGGGACTGGACTGGATTCATGCGTTGTACGGCACTCCTCCGTTTATTCGTTTGATGACGTCAACCTGACGTCAATCTGGCTGCTGCTGTAGGTGAACTTCACGGCAGCTTGGAGGAGGCTGCTCGGGTGCTAGCCGGGGCGCTGATGGACGCAGCGAGCCAGCTGGCGGGTCTGGCGGGTGGCCCCGGGGCAGCGGGACTGACCCGCGGGTCACTGGAGGCGCTGGGATACGCTGTCGACGCGCTCACCGGTACGTGCGGTGTCTGTCTGTCTGTCCGTCTGTCTGTCTGTCTGTCTGTCTGTCTGTCTGCATAATTATTTTATATTATTTATTAAAATATAAATAAATTCAATAATATAATATTAAGTTTTTTATCATAATACACATACATATGTCTATATGTAGACGTGTGTGCATGTGTACACGACTGCATCCTCATCAGGCGTTCGTAAGATTGGGCTACGCGCTGTAGCCCGGGAGTTCCAGAGGCGGCACGCACTGGCATCGCTGACGCCGCCACTGCCGCCGCCGCCACCGCCGCCGGCACCGCCTCCACGTGAGCTGCACCGACGCCACCACCAATAGAAGCCCCACCGGCATCAGACCTGCCACCCAACCCAACTCGGCTTGCTTGTCGACTCTCCGCCAACACCCCGTCGGAGCAACCCGGGCACACACACCCCGCGGATTTCCACGGGCCAGAAGAGAAGGGATGCGGCAGTAGTGCTGGCAGTAATGCTGGCAGTAATGCTGGCAGTAGTGGTACGGACGGTTTATTTTTGGGAGAATGAAGGGCGCGGGGAACGCAGCTGCAATCAGCAACAACAACCGTTGTATGTAGTGCAAGGAGCTGCATTACATCTTCTTCATTACTTCTCATAAACCCAGAATGGACAGCGGGTATTTTTGGCTGCCCGGCCCGGTAACGTCAATAAATAGAGGTTGATATTGGAGGACTACGTACACACAAGGGTCTAGAATGCTCTTGAATAATAAGAACTTTTTAAATAAAAATCCCGGTGCCGCTGCGTAGTGCACGCGTTCAGCAAAGCAACCTCAGCACAATTTGCAACACTTAATTAGGCGAATAACTAACGCAGATCTCAGCAGGAGCTTTCAGGAGGCATTAAAGGACGAGTCGCGTAGATCGTAGGACTTGTTCCAAAACCAGCAGTTCTCGTAAAAGGGCTGACTGGACTTTTAAAATAACTGGAACATACATTAGTTTATACTCCACAACGGTAATAATTGCATGGTTTGTGTCTTTGCATACTAAAGCACTGTACCAGCTGTCAGCACTGCTGACTCAGCAGATATCTGAAAGACAACTTCTTCATCAAAGGAATTGTTGTCGCCTCCCTGTTTCTTCACACACACATTTATGTGTGTGTGTGTAAATCGGCCAAATCGGCCAGATAAAGAATGTAAATTAAATAAAAAAATTAACGATGACAGCCCTTTCAGCCTCTCGCCACCCCCTTCCGCCGCTGTGGTGGTGTGTGTCCAGACTCCGCTGCTGTCGACGACCTAACCTTGGGCAGCGCCGCGCAAAGCTGCTGGCATAATCGCATAAGATCCTACTCCCCCCCTTAGGAGGGGAGTTAGGCGGAGCGGCCTCGGAGCTTGTGATTACCGTACAGAGAGGAGATGAACTGCTCAGGGGGATTCACTACTATCGCCAACCTCTCACAGCTACCACGTGACAGCTACACACACCGCAAGCAAACCACGACTACCACCATCGCCACCACCAAGGCCGCATTACCGACCCGTCCGTGTGCCGAATCATCGTGTGCCATCTTTCTTCCGCACCTGAGTCTCAGCTGGGTGGGATTCCTTCTATAGGCGCCCTGCAGCTCTGGCAGCGGGTTCGAGATCTCAGATCTCAAGCCAACTTGTGTCAACGCAACGCGGCAACGGCGGTATTACAATAAAAGAATTCAGTTACGAATATACAAGCAAGTTTTCGAAAATGTAAACAGTTCCTGCACAACTCAAGAGCAGCCTTAGGCCACCGAGCATCCATCCCTCCCAAACTTCCGCATGCCCTTGTAAAAGTTAACAAGTTACAAGTTCCGCGCAAGTCTGAGCGCCTCCCCAGAGGTAAGATACAACTCAAAGACGAGGAAGAAATTTCCCCTACAATAAGATCCCTCCCCCTGTAATCGGTGTAACTGGATGGCCACCGGCCGGCCGCACAAATCATCGTGCGATCTTCTACAGCCGAGGCACAACACAGGTCATAAATAAATGTTGCAATCATAAATAAATGTTGCGAGCCGTACGTATACGCGCCGTACATATACAAGCCGTACTTGTACAAGCCGATTAACGTTAACCATCTGAAAGACTGCCTAAGCTTTCTACCGCAGATAGGAGGGAGCCCGCGAGGGGCCTCTGTCCCCTCCTAAGCGGCCGAGAGCTGCAGGTCCGCTAGTTTCGCTCTTCTCCCCCGGGGGTGGTAAGAAGCGTCACATGCGCGCACGCTCTCACGAGTCAAGGCTCCGTCACACGACTCCGCGCACTGAGCCCCTGAAACACGCAACAAGATGTTGACTCCTCTCCGTCCCCGACCTGATCCGGCTCTTGGGGTGGGGGTTCGCGAAGACAGACAAAACCCGGAAACCCTGCACAGACCCTACCCCTCCCTACTAAGGCACGAGGCCCTGACTTACATCTCGGTCTCTCACCCAATTGTCCGTTGCGGGGGAGCGGGCAGGGTTCAAGAAACCCGCGCTAACCGCCTCTCGAGCGCACGCGACGGGGGGGGGGCACGGACTAGGCTAGCAGCTATTCGTTCAGTTCACCGTCGGGGCTAGGGATGCCTCTAGGCAGCACCACACACTCGCGGCACAACTCACACGCGGCGTCATCCAGTCTGCTCTACACCCACCCCCTTCGCCTGCGACTCCTCCCAAGCCCTACAGCAGCGACCTCTCAAAAAACCCCTCCCACTGCCCCTGCCTTGGCGCAACCTGCGGCGAGGCGCGCCCTCTCCCGCGAAAAACCCTCTACCCAGACCCAACAAAGGAAAACCCTCAGGCCTATCCCCTCGCCGCCCATCTACGAGTCCTCCTAGCACCCCTTTCTATTCCCCCTTCCCCCTTCCTCTTCCAGCCCAACTGGCTGTACGCAACACAGGCGCCGGTCCACTACCGATAAATGGGATGGTCGGTCCTGAACCCCCCCGTCCCCCTCCTCCCCTTTCTTGGGCTTTCTGGTAGTCAGCCGCTTGCTTATTACCAGATCCGAAACCACCATCGTCACCGCTCTGAACTTCATTTTACATGTAATGATCATATGACGCAGCGATGAGGCTGGTTTTGGAGCTGCGGCTCCAGCGCGTAAAAGAAATGGCACTAGCGGGGGCAGCTGGGCACCCTAGCGCAGGTTTCAACACGTGTGAGTGTATGCAGCCGCAACGCAGCCGGGAAACCGAACGCCATGGTCGTACACCCACGCCGTCGTGACGTACTGCTCATCACCTGTACCGCACTGTACGAGCGCTTCCGGCGGCCTTCCCAACGCTGCATTGACCCAGCGGGGGAGCTCCTTTGTCAGGGCTCGGGAGATTGACCTGCATGTCGTATCAACGATTTCAAATGTACCCCCGACGGCAAAGGCAATTCCGTCGCATCTTTCAACGACGAGCGAATCCCGGGATACTGCGCCGACCTCCGTGGTCAGCTGCATCAGGTGGGATATGACCAGCTGCCCTACATGGTCGCAAGCTGCCGCCGCCGCCGTCGCCGCTGCCCCGCCGCCATGCCCATAGAAGTTGTGAGAGGACGGCTCTGTTGCCTCTGCCTCCGCCGCTGCTGTCGTACTGTTTTCCGACTCGCGCGTTTGGAAGGTTACGCCGGCGGACAAGTGGATAGTGAGCTTTTGCGGCGGCGAAGGTGGCGGCGACGGCGGCAGGGGTAGCAGGGGTGGCGGCGGCGGCGGGGTTGACGGTGGCGGATATGACGGTGGCGGGGGTAGTGGCGGCAGTGATGAGGGAGGTGGGGACGGCGGCGATGGCAGCAACTGCGGTAATGGCGGCGGTTGTTCTGACGGTGGCGGTTGTGATGGGCCCGGGTGGAGCTGTAGCGGTTGTGTCAATGGTTTAACTGGAATCGTGTTGCCAAAAGATGTCACAGTACGCTGTGATTGCGGCCATATCTGCATTTTGTCGGAGATTTTTTTTGAAGGTGACACATACGCCGGCGGCCTCTGAAGCTGTGGCAATGTTGATGGTTGGGAAGGTGTGGAGTTAACTGCATCAGGTTTTTGGATAGGCTGTGGCCCGCTAGCTAAGGATTCTTGAAAATGTGGCGACAGGGGAATAGCGTTTGATCGGGCGCGTGCGGGATGGTTAGCTTGCGAGGCCGCGAGGAGATGGTAGTGTGATGCTCCTTTGGTTGACAGCAAGCGTTGATCCTCGCTTGTCGCACGTCGCGCATGTTGCGCCGTTTCCTGCTCCACAATTCTTGCAGAATCTGCGATTGTGGGCAACATGTTGCAGACGGTGGTAGTCGGCGTGGTACCCCAGCATTATGATGGTCGTTGCAGCAGTGTGGACTGCGTGGCAATCGTTTAGGGTTATTGCCTGGCATGTTTTGTGAAATATATCTGTTAAAATTGCTGTTGTGCTGGCAGAGCTGTAAGTTACGGCGCTTCTGGATTGTTTTTTCATTGGTGTTGCTTGACCTGGACAGTCTCAACCCGACAACGCATTTTAATATCTTAGTGGCCACACCTGTGCACCAGGGGCCGTTGCCAAAAGTCAGCAGAAGAGCAAACAGCAGAATGCAACTAAATGCCATTTGCATACAACCTATGGAAAAATAAAGTGCTCAGGCATTTATTTTTGAAACTCATAAATCTCCGAAACAAAACAAAATTTTGTTCCCCTAGATTGACAATTCGCAACTGAGCCCGCTCCTGAATCGAGGCCAAGTGTCGAGGCCGGAAAGCCTGAACCCAGCCCTACGAACAACCGTCAGCTAAAACAGCAACCCACGAGCCACAAAGGTATTTCTGCATAAGGGATGTTTCATACATATGTTTGATTACACTTAACCATGGCAAGGTTTTGCAGGAGTAATGAGGAGGTGCACATATCACTCGTGCCGTAAGATAAGAGATAATATCACACATACATAGTACTTATCCAGGCCTTCGCAAGCGCTCGGGAAAAGCACTGCTTTGCGGAGCGGCTTTCGCAAACCATGACTATCGTTCGTGTCCGCCCCACGGCCCGTCCTAGTCCGTCACTCTGCATGTCCCCCTCGACGTTCGTCAAAAGCAAACTGCAGAGTGCAATGTTTGCGTTCCTTTTGGTAGAATGCGTCTCTACATCATGTGATTTAAAAACCAAAAAAAAACGCGCGGTGGAAATCAACAACTGGCAACAGCATGATCTCTATAAGCGTTGTTTCCGCTAAAGCCTCAAAAGGGTGGAATTTGTGTAGCCTTCTGCATGCGAGCAGCTGTTGGTTGAGCCGCAGTTGTTGCTTCCGTCTGTCACCGAGATGTAGAGAGCCCGGAGTCATCTCCCGTTTCCTAACTTTCCCAATCTTACCCCGGCGTATTACCCGACTGGTCTATGCAGCTGTGCAGCTATGGAGGTTGACCCATCCGGAAAAAACTGAGAAACACGGTGGACCAAGTCAATGTGCTGACGTCACATCTTTTAACCCCGAAAATTCCTGTCAAAAATCCTGTCTGCAACGTCTTGTAAAACCCTAAGTCGTAATTGCACGTGCCATGTGTTTATAGCAAAAAGCAAAAAGCCGTGCACCCGCGCTTGCAGCAATTTCAAATCCGCGGACCATAAGAGTCAGTATCCACCTCGGCTGTAGCAGATACATAGAGCAATAATTCCCGAACAAACAATCATGCATATTCGCCACTGACAACTGCCTCAGCGCATCGTCCTGTTTGCCCAGGAATGCTTCTACTACAGTTCATTTCCTCCCTAGCTTAGCGCCTTTCTTCGGCTTCTTTCTTTCTCAGGCAGCTGGCTGCCTCCTCAACCTCCCGCTCCTGAGCGCAGCAACTCGCGCTGGAGACCCAGCATCCCTCGCATCAGCCATACCCGCCACTACTCTCCCCCTTATTCGCCCACGTACCGACCCTTTGCGACCACCGGAGCATCGCCGGCGTTTCCTGGTGGCCATACCTATCCATTCGAAAAAAGAAAAAAAAGCCTGGGTTAGCTTTAGGTTCACACGCAAGCAATATTCACATATGTGTACGTACATACGTACTACATACGCGGACGTACAGAACAGAACAAATATCATCAAGAATCGAAAGAAACGAACACATAGACAACAAACGCAGGTGATCGTTCGAACCGAGCGACTCAATTTAACGAATTGACAAAGCCACCGCACACCAGGTTACCAGACGTGTTTGCGCGAAGCACACACGCGCGCGCACGAAGACACACACGCGCACGAAGACACACACACGCACACACGCGTAGACACGTCAACACGTCCACCACCCAGCCACAGTTGTTTTGCGCCTTCCTTTTTGCGCTGTTCGTCGCCGCTTCCAAAAAACTTTCACCCCGTGCACGAAAAACAGGCCTCAGCACACATCCGGACGACCTCAGCAGAACAGCCCAACCCTCCACACCCCTCCCGTGCTTCCCCCCCCCCCCCGGCTTTTTTCAACATCGCAGCACAACATCATATTGCAATTGAGAACACACGGTAATGAAGACAAACTGAAGGAGAGGAGCGCGAGAGGAGTAAAGAGGAGTACGCGATCCGCAACACACAGGGGGCCACACGCCTATCCGGACCTGAAGACGAAAAGATATACCCCGGCTCTCGCGGCCCACAGTGTAATCTAAGGCATAGGTACATACGTACATACATACATACATCTATATACGCACGAGGCCCCCTTGACGCTGAGAGGGGTATTGGTAGGTGGGTACACTGCACGGTCTGCGGCCACAAGGGGGGTGGGGGCCACAGGTGGGGGCACCTTCCTCCAACCACCCTCACCACCAAAACCCAAATACACACTGCATACCCCCCCTCCCTGGGTTCGGAACGTCACCAGATTCTCGTTGCTCCCACATCACCCGCATATTATAAACAGCACTTCACCCATACACCCGGGTGGGCCGATCTGTCGGTCTGTCTGTCTGTCGGTCGCCCATCACGTTTCGCAGCTCTCCGGGGGTTTCAAAAGGTCCAGCAGTAAACCGTGAAGAAAAAGGGAGGCACCAAAGGGGCGGCACCATCTCTCCGCGCTCACATCACGGAGAGAGCGCTCCTCTCCCTCACCTCCCTCCCCAACACACACGTGGCCCCCCGTGTCCCACTCTCACCTCGCAACAGATCAAACAAACATCTGTTGCGGGTGGAATGAAACACGGGGGGCCGCTATTGTATCGGGAAACAACTAAAACCACAACATCAACAGCAGCACGGCCCCCCGGGCTTCCACAGCAAAAACATGTCGCGTGTTGGCCTGTTCACCGCCACCACCACCACCACCACCACCATCCGACATCAGTTCATTAGCCTCTAGAGCGGTCTCCTCCGAAACCAGCCAAAACACGATCATCAAACCCCAAAAACACCAATCCGAGGCTATAACTGTATCCTGTATCCGAGGCTATACCTGTAGAGGTAAACTCGGTGCGGATACCCGCCACTACCAGTCACTAGTCTGTTACATCACCACGTCGCAATTGCTCCACTTAGTCGTTTGCCACCACTCTCCCAAAGTGACGGTGGCGCAAACAGAGACCATTTCAACAGCACCAAGAGGTCCGCCACTGGCGTGTGTGTGGGGGGGGGGGGGAGGGGGAGGGGGAAGGGGAAAGACGCGCTCTCCCGGGCCCCCCTTTTCCGTTCCCGGGATATGTGAGGAGGCCGTTATCAAGGCCTCACAACAGGTCCTCACCTCACGCAGCAGCCGGCGACATCATGGGAGTGCCCTCCCCCCCGGAGCCGCTACCCGCACTACCCGCCCCCGTCCCCGCCTCCTTCTTCTGCTTCTCAAATCCGTAACCCAAACTGGTTCCCGAGCTGGCTGACAGTAGCTGCAGATCAGCCAGGTGCTTCCGACGGAACTCGTCCACAACGGAGCTCACCTGGGCGCGTGCAAGGCAAGGCATGGTGTGTGTGTATGTGTATGTATGTGTGTGTATGTGTGTGTATGTATGTGTGTGTATGTATGTGTGTGTATTTATGTGTTTATGTGTGTGTATGTGTATGTGTATGTGTATGTGTATGTGTATGTGTGTGTATGTGTGTGTATGTGTGTGTATGTGTGTGTATGTGTGTGTATGTGTGTGTATGTGTGTATGTGTGTGTATGTGTGTGTATGTGTGTGTGGTGGGCCAAATGAGGTGGACTAGGGCAACGGGTTTAGTGACGTCAACCGTCAACTGTCAACCGACGGCGGCGCATTGAGAAGAAAGGGGATCAGGAACCTTTGGAGCTCTAGGAACCTGACCAAGGTGCTCGAGCGTTACATAGCAACTGCTCTACGAAAAATGATTTTCATGGATGCTTTTCACCAATTGAAAAATTCTCAAACCAATCATTTTGACGTCACTTTTGTGTAAGCTTACAGTGGTATCATTAGGATTTGAAACCCATACTGCTGGCCTTGAATTAGGTTTCTTTAGCGGCATTACAAGTTACATTACAAGTTACATTACAAGTTACAATACAGCTGACTAGTTCAATTCTATTTTCCATTCCTACACCCCCTCCTTCCTTCCCCCCGCTCACCTCCTCCGTGTTGAACTCCATCTCTCGCAGTACGGCAGCTGCCAGCTGCAGGGAGGGCTCCAACGTCTCCGGAACCACGGCTGTAGCCCCCGCGCGCTCCAGGTTCACTGTGCACGGGGTTGGGGTGAGGGGGTGAGGGGTGAGGGGTGAGGAAGGGGGGGAGGCGATGCGGAACGCAATGCGGCGACGTAACCCTCTGTCAACACGCCCTCTTTAGCCCCCAGTTTGTTGACCAACAGCAGACCACGGCATCAATGACGCACAACCGATATATTGACAACAGCCCTGCTACTGCACACGTCCGCACTACTACACCCACACACACACACGCACACAACCCACCACACACACGCCGGGCCCTCCTCCAACACACAAACACACACACACACACACACACACATACACGCAACCACATATGCCCCAGCGGGGACTTCAAAACACGGCCGCGGGGGGGGGGGTTGACACGTTCCTCACCTGCGTTGGTGATGTCGTGCGCCCGTACGTACGTCTTGACGTGCGGGAAGTGCTTCGACATGGTGTAGACTGCCCGGTAGTTGGCGCCCGGGGTGTCCAGGGCGATGATGGCGCAGGCCGCCCTCTCAGCGCCCACCAGGTGCATCACCGAATAGGAGCCTTTGAGGAGGGGGGAGGTGAGGTGAGGGGGGGTTTTGAGGCGAAGGGGGAGTTGAGGGGGGGGGAGTTGAAGGGGGGGAGGTGAGGCGGGGCGGGGCGGGGCGGGGGAAATGTCTATTGGTAAATATGATGATGATGATGATGATGATGATGATGATGATGATGATGATGATGATGACAAAGTATAAACTGAGAACGAGGAAAGTTGATATTGTGAATATGTACGACGGAAATAGTGTATAGAAGAAATTATATGTAAACCTACACCCGTACATAAATATACATAAACATCCTGGACAGACGGACGTCAGATGGCCGGATGAGGGGTGGAAAAGAGCTCTCAGCCGTACAGGCGGAGGAGACGTGCGGGAACAGGCCCCCCTCCCCCCAGCCCCAACGTCCCTTCCCTCCCTCCCACCCCACCCATTTCCCTCCTCAATCCCCCCCCAAAACACACACACATGCACACGCACCTGCGTCTCCAAAGTACACCGGCACGTCCTTCTTCTTGCCCACCGCCACCCGGGCGCTGCTCACGTCCAGCGCCACGAAGGGGATGAGCTGCTCGGACAACATCTGGGCAATGATCTGCCCCACACGGCCATAGCCTGAAGTAACAGCAGCAGTAGCAGCAACAGTAGCAGTAGCAGCAGAAGTAGCAGAGAGGGCGGGACAGGGGGGATAGAGGAACCATGTGATCCAGGGAGGAAGGAGGGAGGAGTGGAGAGGGGGAGAGAACCATGATGTACACACAGATGACACACACACAGATGACATACACACAGATGACACACACAGGCAGGTTTCACTCTCGGGAACCTCACCCCACCCCACCCCACCCCACCCCACCCAGCCCGACCCGGAGCCCCACCAGCCCACACACCCCTCCTACACACCCCCACCCCCACCCGCAATGATGACGTGGTCCTTCATCTCCTTCATCTCATCCTCCTGCGGCCGGCGGGGTGCGGATGGGGGTGCGGATGGGGGTGCGGATAGGTTAAGGAGGTTGATGAAGCGAAATAGGGTAGGGGAGGACGGCAAAGTGACAGACGTCAGATGTCACCACCACTATCACTGTTTTTGAGCACTTCACACTTCACACCTGCCCCCCGGACAGTGGGAGCCCCCGCCCACCTAATTGGGGAGGGGTTGGGTGAGGGGGGGAGGGAAGAGCTGGGAAGACAGGGAGCAACGGCGGGAAATGGGTCACCGGTATGTGTGTGTCTGGGTGTGGAGGGAAGGGGGGGAATACCACCGGGGGAAAGGGGAGCTGAAGGAGAAAAAGCTTAGGGGAAAGAACAGACAGACAGACAGATAGACATACCTTGGGCTGCAGAGTCATCAGGTCGGAGCTCTCCAGTACGGCACCCAGACGACTGCCCAGCTCGGCCAGGTACGGCGTCAGGGCCATGGACAGCGCAACCACCTGTACGACACCAGCAAAATGCATATGGTGGTCATGGTGACGTTTTGCCATAGAATGAGGAAAAGAGGGAAAAATGGAATCCAGGTGCGACAGGTGACATACGGTTGCGTGCTACCGTAAGGGGCTTGCTGTACGGCAAAACACAGAGACATCCTCTCTCAATCGGGCGCCTCTTTTCCACCGCCTCCTCTTTAAAGTCCCGGCCCCCACCCCAACCCCGATTTCTCCCCCGGAATCCAAACCGCGTCCTTTCAAAATTTTTAAAAACATAAAACTGTTCCTCACTCCCATCGCCTACAGACCTCCAACACGCAGATCATAATTTCCATTCGTGGAGTACGGCGTAAAAGATTTGTACAACATGACTCACCACGTACAGCAGGTTGCATACGTTGGCAGGCAATACCCCCCGCGACACGGCCTCTCCGAACGCCACGAAGGCGAACTCCCCCCCTGGAGCCAGCAGAAGGCCGGAGCGCACCGCGGCCAGACGGGACAAACCGAACAGGGGTCCCACAGCCGCCATCACCGCCACCTGCGGGGCGGGCACAGCGGGAAGAGCCGGGGGGGGGAGAGGGGGGGAAGGACGAACCACGTGAACGAGTGAAGCTGCTGCCAGGGCAAGAGTTTACCAAGAGTAGGACTGACCAATAGGCGTTCTTGAAGGAGAGGGGGGGAAAGACGAACCAGAGAGGGGGGGAATGTGTTTTAACAATGATGGAAATCAAATGCGGAGGGAGGGAGCGGGGAGATACGAGGGAAGTTATAACCGTGTTGGGGTACGATGCACCTAAAAACATTTCACATAAGGAAGAAAGAAAGAATGAAAAGTGAAGAGGACTACCCTCCCAAAAATACTCGTCCTCTTTCCCCCCTTCGGGCCTCCCCCCCTCCCCGTCCCCCTCCTCCCCCTTTCCCCCCCTCACCTTGCCCACAATGAGCACCACAATGGCCCCCAGCACCTCCTTCCACTTCTGAAGGAACAGCTGTACGGAGATCTCCATACCCACCGACATGAAGAACAAACCCATCAGCAGGCCCTTGTACGGCGCAATGTCAGACTCCACCTGCGGGGGGTGGGGGGGCGCCGGCCCAAGGGGAAGTGAAACGCGTTGAAACAGCATTTAGGAGCTTTCGGAGAAATCAACGGACAGGATTTCGGTTTGGATCGCCGTACGGATCTCGGTCGGTGCCTGTACGAATCTGAGGCGGGGCCTGTATCCTCTCCCAAACCGCGTTTCTTCCCGCCCCCCCACCTGTCTTCTTCTTACCCCTACCCCAACCGCCCCCTCTGCTCCCCTCAGCTCCCCCCCCGGAGCCATGTCGTACTCTGTCTACCGACCCCCCCACCCCCCCCCCGGGGTGACCTGGGCCACTCGTCGCCCTCACAACGACTCCCCCCTTCCCCCTCCTCCTCCTCCCCTCCTCTCTCCCCCTAAAACACACACACATACACATACACACGTACACACACAAAACTACACACACGAGCAGGAGGGGGCTGTGGTCCCTCCCGCCCCTCTCCTCCCCCCACACGGAGGAGAGTGCTTCGGCGGTAAACCGTTCCCGTTTTGGGATATACGGTTATTAGGGTTTTAGGGTTTTAGGGTATTGGCCATTCTCAGGCCCCGATCGATATGTAACCAATACACATACACAGACACACATTCAGACATACACACATACACCCGTACATCCCCATACACGCACTCAGCCCCCCTTCCTGACCTGCAGTGCATACTCCGTCTCCGCTATGAGAAGTCCCGCCAGAAAGGCCCCCAGTGCCAGGGACAACCCCGCCAGCTGCGTGAGGAAGGAGGTGCCCAACACCATGAGGAGCGTGGTGGCGGCGAAGATCTCGGCGTTGGCGAACTCTGAAATCTTCTTGTACAGCGGCCGTACGAGGATGCGGCCGCCTGATGAAGGGGGCGGGGGCGGGGGAGGGGGGAGGGTGAAACAGGGGGAAGCAGGGGGAAAGGAACGAAAAGGATTTGGCGCGAGGATGCGTTTGATACAGAACTGGTGCGTGTGTGTATGTATGTACCTGTACGTGTATGTATGTACGTCCCCTTAACACACACACACACATACACCCCACAGCCACCTCCTCCCCCCGTACTTCGCACTCACTGACCCGCAATAATGCCCACAATCGCCACCACCGCCTTCACCGCAGCCAGCCCCAGCGCCTGGGCGATGCGCGCAAAGCCGCCGGAGGAGCCGTCCGGGGAGGGCGCCAGCAGCGGAATAAGCATCAGCAGCACCACCACCGCCAGGTCCTGAAGCAGCAGCACAGAGAAGATGGCGCGGCCGTGCCGACTGCCCATCTCGCCGCGCTCCTCCAGCACCTGCCGAAAGGGAGACCGGAGGTGGCACACGACCCAGGAGGAGGTGGGCGAGTGGGATTGGGTGCGGGGTTGGGTTGGGTGGGGTTCAGAGGAAGCACTGAAGATGACGAAGCAGACACCCGAGAAGTAGACGGGTACTCCAGGATTAGATAGCGGGGTGCGGGGAGGGAGGAGGGGAGTGTATATATGTTGTGTGTATATATACATACAGACATACATACCCTTGAGCCCTCGGCTCGTATTAGGGCGGTTTTGCAGGTGTGTACGGGGAGCGCACCCACGACCATGTAGCACACACACACATACATACATATATATACCCCTCCCCCCTATATATATACATATATGGTAGGTATGATGGCGGTTCCGTGTGTATTTGGCCGCACTAGTACTTCTTCACATCGAGGCAACACCAGTACGCCGGCCCGTACTTGTAGGCATGCGTTTGTCTCATAGGGCCCATAGGGGAGCCGTAGTAGTAGTGGCAAGTTACCCCCCTTTGTTGGCACTAGCAGTGCTAGTCCGGTCTTATTAGTCGTGGCCGAGCTTGTTGTGTGTGCCGGTGCCGGTACGGACAACTCCTTCCTCCTTTCCAGGCTATGTGTGTCTTACATTACAGCGACAGGCGATGTGCCCTTTGGCCTCTCTAGGTTTCTTTGCTGCTATACGGTATAGAAACTTGGCAGCCCGCTGTAATAACACATACATACATACATACATACGTACATACACACCCTCCTTCCCCCTACCTGGATCGCCACCGCAGTGGAGCTCATGGCCAGTGAGCCCCCCAGGATGATGGCCCCCGGCCCCGGGAGCCCCGCCACCGCCATGGCAACACCCGCAACACCCAACAACGTGAAAACCACCTGCAGGAGTGGGAGGGGTGTAGCAGGAGTGGGAGGGGTGTAGCAGCAGATGGGAGGGGTGTAGCAGGAGGAGGGGTTAGATCACAGGCTAAAACCCACACCGGGGCCCACCACCTGAATGGGGAGAGGGGGTTTTAGAGGGGGGAAAAGGAAAGCTTCCATGGGGGGTTTAGGTGTGCATGTGCCGACCAAGCTGGCGGTGTGCTCCACCCTCACCAGGCTCTGCGGGCTCTGCCCTTCCCCCCCCTTTCCCCTCACTCCTTATGCCTTCTCCCCCCCTCCCACATACACACTTCTCCCCACCCAAACATACACTCCCCCCCACACATACCTGCGCCGTGCCCATTCCAAACACAAACTTGGCCATGGACTGCAGCCTGTCCAGTGATAGCTCCAGACCGATGTTGAAGAGCAGCAGCACTACACCAATCTCCGCCAGGTGCTTAATGTTGTTCACGTCGCTGATGAAGCCCAGAGCATAAGGCCCGACTATCGCACCCCCCAGCAGGTAGCCAAGTACGGCATTGCCACCTGGGGCGAGAAGGAAAACAAAACCCCCCGGGGGGAACACCCCCGGGAAAATCAGGGAGGGGGGGAGCGTGTCAGGGTTTTAGGGGGAGGGGGGAGGAATAATCCCCCCCAAAGGAGAAGGAATAAAACTCATCTGGCCGCCTCGGGGGGCTTCAGATAGCTGGAAGGCCAATCCGACGCGTGTGTGTTTGCAGATGGTGCCCGAAAAGGCCCACGGGGGGCCCAGGGGAAGGAGGCGGTGCGGGCGGTGTGTTTCGTTTCGTTTGGTCCCTCCTGATTTCCCCCCTTCCATGCATCCCCCCCTGAACCCCCGGGCGAAGCATCCAGGCCAGGAGGGAGGGGGGAACTGTCCAGGGAGGACCTGACTCCCTCTCTCCCCCCCGCCTTTCCCCGCCGGCTCTAACCACCGGCACTCGTACCTGGCACGCCCTTAACCACCAACGGCACACACACGATAGACGTGAAGAGCAGACAGATGGTTTCCAACAGGCCGCGTTCAGCCTCGTGTATGTGGATATGGCCCAGCTGGTCCTGCAAGCGGGCACAAGAAGGGGGTGGGGTGGGGGGGTGGGGGGGGGTGGGGGAGACGAACCACGAGCGAGTGAAGATGATGCCAAGGAAAGAGACTGATGCGCCAGAAGTTGGGTTTTTTTTCGGGGGGGGGAAAAGAGTCCCGGGCCGGCATGGAGAAAGGAGGAATTGGGGAGGGTAATTTACCCTCTAAACGTTATATGATATGTATATCCGAAAAAGAAAAATTACACCTGCAGTGATGATAACGTTTCGGTGCGTTAAGGACCACGCGGTGAAGTGCAGTTCTCGGAAAGAAAGGTTTACAGTTAGAGATTACAGACGAGTTGGTATGAGCTCTTATCCGATAGCTCTACACCCCCGTGGAGCTCAACCTGCCTTTATAAAGGTGACGACGGAGGACGCGGCCGCCACCGCCGCCCGCCCCGGATCCGTACTGTTGAAGAAGTAGTAGCCCGCAGCCGCACCCAACGCCACCGCGCCAATCTTGACCCAGTCCACTGCGTTGCCCTTGGCGCTGGGGTACAGGTTGCCCGGCTCGACGAGCGAGGAAGCGGTCGTGGCCGCGGCGGTCGCCGCCACCGCCGCCGCTGCTGGCGCCGCGGCCGCGGCGGTCGCAGGCGACAGCTCCTTGGCGCCGCCGGCTGCCGCCGCCGCGCCAGCGGCGGTCGCGGTCGCGGCCGCCGCCGCGG